GCTCTGCCTCCCGCTCGCTCCCGGAGCAGGAAGGAGGCTCCTTGCTCGTGTCCTTTCTGCGCCAGTGACAGACCCTGCCATGCTAAGGGGAAGCAATAAAATCAGGCTCYTTGCTTCCCCTCTGGCTTCACTTTTTTACTGTATTTTTGCCCTCTTTTGTCCTGCAGGTCCACTACATCCTGCAGGAGCTGGTCCTAGGGGGCATGGTGCTGGAGACCGACATGACGGAGATCGTGGCGCATGCGGATGCGCAGAGCAAGCTGGAGAAGGCCGAGGTGAGCACAGCACGGCTGCCTTCCCCGCGTGCCCTGCGCCGCCGTGGGCAGGGATTTGGTGCCAGGTGCCTGGGCAGCAGCAGGCGGCACGAGGGATAGGTGTTCCCTGGACGTCCCCCTGCAGAGGACCATGCCCTCGCGGCTCCGTCCTGTGCAGGGGCACCGGGCACAGGGTCCCCGGAGCCCTGTGTGCCCCTCGTGCCGCCCCTCGCTCAGCCGTGCCCCTCGCTGCGCTGCGTCGCCCTGGGGCCCTCCGGGCGTCCCTGGAGCCGGCAGCGCGCGGCGCTGACCGCGTCCSCTCTGCTGCCCTCGCCAGGGCGGCCTCTCTGCGGCTCCGTCCCGCGCCGTCTCTGCTGTGAAGAACATCAACCTGCCGGAGACCCCTCGCAGCATCAGCCTCGGGGACATGGGCATCAAAGTGCCCAACCTGTCGCAGCTGGTGTGAGCGTCTCGGGCTCCGTGCCCGGAGCGGCACAGTGCGCCCCGGCGCAGCGCGGCGCCCTTCGCCCCGGCGGGTGTCCCTGTCGCGTGCAGTGCGGGGCGGCCCCGCTGGCAGCACGGGCGGGCAGAGCCGCGTGCCGCGGGCGGGCGCTGCCGGCAGCGCCGCTCACCTTGGACCCTGAGCCCGGCCGTGCAGCCCGGCCCGCCCTCCACAGCGCCGTGGAAAAACCCAGGCCTGTCTCTCAGCACTTGATGCAGTCCCTGGTTCTGGAAGTCCCTCCGTTTGTCCCAGGGTGCTGCCTCTGCCCCCCAGCCCATGTCCCAAGTCCCCCCTGCTCCTGCTGGCCAGGCAGGGCCCTTGGCTGCGGGGTTGGCGCCGGGCGCTGCAGATGGACACGAGGTTCCTGTGGCTGCGGCCGCGTGGGGCGGGAGCTGTGGGGCAGAGCAGCTGCCCCCGCCGAGGGCCGGCTGTCCCCTGCGTCCCCGGCACGTGGGCACAGGCACTGCGGGGTGCATGGAGAACATCCCCACCCCTAATAAACCACTGTGGATCCTGTGAATCCCGCACCGTGTGTCTGTGCTGCTGCGCGGGCTGCGGGTTTGTGGYGGCGGGACCCGGCTGCGGCTGCCACCCCTTCCTGCTGCCGCTTCCAGCGCCCTGTGCTCCCGCGGGCACAGCCTCTGCTTCTCCCGGCAGGGAAAGGGTGACTCTGCTGGGAAGGAATTTTCCTGCGGTCTCCAGCCCGCCGCTGCCCCCTGCTCACAGCTTAACCCTTCCCCGGTTGCTCGCGGGCCACATGTGGCCTCTCTGTGCCCGGTGCTCCCGGTGCCTGTGTGGCCGGGCCGGGCAGCCGGAGCTGCCGCTCGCTCGGGGCAGCGCACAGCCCTGCGCCCGGCCCCTGCCGCCCCGCACGGCCCCCGTGCTGCCCGCGGCCCCGCACAGCCCTGCCCGCCCACGCAGCGCGGCTGGGCGCTGTGGCACCTGCGGCGGGTCCGGCGCCAGGCTCGTGTGGGGGCCCCGGCTGCTGCCCCTGCACTCACGGCTCCAGCCGCTTCTTGGGCAACATGAGTGCTGTCCGCAGCCCCTGCCAGCCGGCCTGGGGCCGCGGGGGGACCCGTCCCCTGTGCCCAGCCCCGTGGGACGTGCTCGCTGGTGCCAGCTGCAGGGCAGGGGGCTCCCTTGCCGCGGCACGGGCCCTCCCTGCAGCGGCTGCTGTTGCTGCCCGGGCGCTGCGGCCCCCTGCCCCACGTGCTCCCCAGCCCGACACCTTCCCCATGTGGGGCTGCAGTGGGTCCCAGCACACAGCACCGCTCCGGGCGCCCTGTGGCACCAGCAGCACTGGCACGGCGCACAGATCCCGGCCCCTTGGGGTGGCGGATCCAGGATGCGGGCGCTGGGCAGCGGGCCGGCCAGCAGCCACGGGGTTAAGGCGGTGGGATGAGGAGGGTTCAGGTTACTTCCCTCAGCGAGGAGGGAAGTTTCCTGCGGCTGTGGGCTGCGAGAGCCGCCCGGGGGAGCCGGACACAGGCGGGACGGGGCAGGGCGCCCGGCGCGGATGGGGCCGGCGGCAGCTGGGGGTCCCGCTGCGCCCCGCGCCTGAGCACCCAGGTGAGCGCAGCCGCCCGGGACGGGCCCGCGGGGGCGGCAGCGGGACGGGGGCTGTGCGGGTGCCCGGCGCTGCTGGCGCTGTGGGGGACACGGGGGACGTGGGGCTCCCTGCGTGTGTGGGGAGTGCGGCTGTGTGTGAGGGGGACACGGAACCCTGTGCGCTGCGGGGAGCTGCAGGGTGCTTGTGCACACGCGTGTTGGCATGCATGTGAGCACATGTGTGTGCGTGTTGGGGCTCGTGGGGACGCGGGGATGGGGCTCCCGGCACTGCTGCGTGCCCGTGGCCCCGCGTGCCTGTGCTGATGCGTGCTGATCTCGGCACCGCAGCTGCCGACCTTGGGAAAGGCTCGTCCTGTTCCCCGGCAGGATGCGTGGCACTTCCCCCGGCCTCCCTCCGCTTCCCGCTCCACTGGCCGGCTCCGGCTGGGAGCTCCGCACTGCCGGGGCCTGGGATCCGCGCAGGGGGTACCCGCGCCCTGCGGTGCTCCCGGCATGGGGTGGGCGCACCCGAGGCTGGAGGTGCCTGAGGAGGGGGACGTCCAAGTCCGGRGTACCCGAGACTGGGGGTTCCCAAGGCCGGGGTGTCCGGGGCCGGCGTGCTCAAGGCTGGGGTGCTTGGAGCCGGSGGTGCCCGGGGCTGTGGTGCCCGGGGCCGGGGGCCGCGCTCTCTCCCGCCGGGGCCGCGGCTCCTGGAGTTTGGACTCCGCGGTACAGTATAAACCCAATAACGCGATCGTGGACTTTGGGCACGGCGGGCAGGGCGGTGGCGCCCCGGCCCCCGCGGGACCCCCGCTCAGCCCCGGGTCCGGGTCCTGGCGCATCGGCGGCCCCCGCTGACACCTGCTCCCGGTGCCCCTTGGCGGCGGCTCTGGGGGGCCCGGCCGCCCGCCCCGGCGGTGCCCCTGGCCGCGCTCCGGGCACGGGAAGGAGCTCGGCGCACGGACCCGGTGTGGCGGGAGGCGGGAGTGCGGCCCGGGGGCTGCCCCCCCCCCCAGCCACATGGCCGTTTAATCCATCACCCATTAACCCGCGCTAATAAACCCGGGCAGTGCGAGGCTAAAAGCCGTGCGGGAAGGCAGAGCGTCCTCGGCAGCACCGTCCCGCAGCCCCGCCATGGCCGCCGGCTTCTTCATCAGCAAGAGCGTGGGCATCGTGGGCATCGTGCTGGGGCTGGGCGCCGTGGCCACCATCATCGCGCTCTCGGTGGTCTACGCGCAGGAGAAGAACAAGACGGCGGCGCCGGCACCGGCGCCGGGCACCCCCGGCACCACGGCCGCCACCACCACCGCCCCCAACAACGTGTGGAACCGCTGGCGCCTGCCCACGGCGCTCAAGCCCGAGAGCTACGAGGTGACGCTGAGGCCCTTCCTGAAGCCCAACCAGGACAACGTGTACATCTTCACCGGCAACAGCACCGTGACCTTCCTCTGCGAGGAGCCCACCGACATCATCCTCATCCACAGCAACAAGCTCAACTACAGCATGCAGGGCGGCTTCCACGCGTCGCTGCAGGCGCTGGACGGCGCCAGCCCCCCGGCCATCACCAGCACGTGGCTGGAGACCCCCACGCAGTACCTGGTGGTGCGGCTGGCCGCCCAGCTGCAGAGGGGCCACTACTACAGGCTCGTGAGCAGCTTCACGGGCGAGCTGGCCGACGACCTGGCCGGCTTCTACCGCAGCGAATACGTGGACGGCACGGAGACCAAGTAGGAGGGCGCAGCGGGCACGGGGCCGGGGACGAGACCGGGGCCGGTGTGTCGGGCCCGGGACGCTGTGCGTGCCGCCGGGCCCGAGCGAGGGGCTGCGCTCGCCCGCAGGGTGGTGGCCACGACGCAGATGCAGGCGGCAGATGCGCGCAAAGCCTTTCCCTGCTTCGACGAGCCGGCCATGAAAGCCAACTTCACGGTGACCATCATCCACCCCAGCGACCACCAGGCCCTGTCCAACATGCCGGCCACGAGTGAGCAGGGCGGCGGGCGGGCGGGCGCGGGGCCGGGCGGCCGCGGCCCCCGGGCGCCCTCCCCAGCCCGTTGTCCCCCGCAGGCTCCCGCGCGCTGCAGCTCGACGGCGAGAGCTGGAACGTCACCGAGTTCGCCACCACGCCCAAGATGTCCACCTACCTGCTGGCCTTCATCGTCAGCCAGTTCGAGAGCATCGAGAACATCTCGGACAGTGTGCAGGTGGCACGGGGACAGGGATGGGACAGGGATGGGGCTGGGCGGGCGCAGCGCCATGCAGGGCTGAGCCCGGCCTCCCTCCCGCCAGATCCGCATCTGGGGCCGCCCGCAGGCCATCGCCGAGGGCCAGGGCGACTACGCGCTCAACGTCACCAGGCCCATCCTCAACTTCTTCGAGCGCCACTACAACACGGCCTACCCGCTGCCCAAGTCCGGTGGGTGCCGGGGCCGCGGCGGCTGCGCCGAGCCCCGCAGAGCGCGGCACCAACGCAGCCTCCTGCACCCCCAGACCAGGTCGCGCTCCCCGACTTCAACGCGGGCGCCATGGAGAACTGGGGCCTGGTGACGTACCGGGAGAACTCGCTGCTCTACGACAGCACCTTCTCCTCCATCAGCAACAAGGAGCGCGTGGTGACGGTCATCGCGCACGAGCTGGCGCACCAGGTGCCCGGGGGTCCCCGCGGCGGGGGCGGCACCGGTGGCGCGGCGGCCGCGCTCACCCGCTCGCCCGCAGTGGTTCGGGAACCTGGTGACGCTGCGCTGGTGGAACGACCTGTGGCTCAACGAGGGCTTCGCCTCCTACGTGGAGTACCTGGGCGCCGACTCAGCCGAGCCCGACTGGGGCATCGTGAGTGGGGGCCGGGGCGCGCGGGGCCGCGGCGCCGCCGCGGGGCACTGACACCCGCCCCCGCAGAAGGACCTCATGGTGCTCAACGAGCTGTACACGGTGATGGGCACCGATGCGTTGGCCAGCTCCCACCCGCTCTCCTTCAGCGAGGACGAGATCAACACGCCGGCGCAGATCAGCGAGGTCTTTGATTCCATCGCCTACAGCAAGGTGGGCGTGGGCGGCGCGGGGGGCACGGGGTGCATGGAGGGCGCAGGCGGTGTGGGAGGCGCGGGGGGGTGAGGGCAACGCGGGGGGCACGGGGTGCATGGGCGGCGCGGGAGGCGCAGGGGTGCGGGCGACATGGAGTGCACGGATGGTGCAAGGGGTGCACGGGTGGCATGAATGGTGCAGGCGGCAGGGCGGCGCGGGGGGCACAGATGGAGCGGGAGGCACGGGGGGTGCAGGGGGTGCATGGGCAGCGTGGGCGTCACAGGGTGCACGGGTGGCGGGGCGGCATGGGAGGTGCAGGGTGCAGGGGGTGCATGGGCAGCGTGGGCGGCACAGGGTGCACGGGTGGCGCAGGCGGCGGGGCGGTGCGGGGGGCACGGGCGGCGCAGGGTGCAGGGGGTGCATGGGCAGTGTGGGCGGCACAGGGTGCAC